AATCTGGGTATTCAAGGACTAGTGAAAGTTCACTGGACTCTACCAGAACCATGATGGTTTCCAAGTCCTGGGGCTCCCTTCTCTTGGGATGAATGGATTCCAAGTGGTTGGAGTGCTGGACTTGGATCTGGGAGAATTAGGGTCAGATCCCACTTAGCCATGAAGCTGACCTTGGGTGCGAGTCACTGCCTCTCAGCCTACCCTACTTCACAGGGTTGTTGGTTGGATTAAAGGGGGAGGGGGAGTTTCCCCAAAGCATAGTTTTAAAAAAGTGTACTAGGTTAATAATTTGGGAATAACAGCTAGCACGGGATAGATCACTGTATTCATAGTAAGCATACATTGAAAGATTGGTAAGAATTCATTAAAAGGGACGCGGGTGTCGCTATGGTCTAAACCACTGAGCCAAGGGCTTGCCGATCGGAAGGTCGGTGGTTCGAATCCCCACGATGTGGTGAGCTCCCGTTGCTCAGTCCCAGCTCCTGCCAACCTAGCAGTTCGAAAGCACGTCAAAGTGCAAGTAGATAAACGGCGTTTCCGTGTGCTGCTCAGGTTTTGCCAGAAGTGGCTTAGTCATGCTGGCAACATGACCCGGAAAAACTGTCTGCGGACAAATGCCGTCTCCCTTGGCCAGTAAAGCGAGATGAGCGCTGCAACCCCAGAGTCATTCGCAACTGGACTTAACTGTCAGGGGTCCTTTACCTTTTTAAGAATTCACTATTTTACTACACATTATTAGCCCCTTGGATTCCAGGTATCTGAACTGGGCCGGCCCTACCGTTGAGCAGAGAGTGAGGGGGCTGCCTCAGGTAACTAATGTTTGGGGGAGGAAGTTGCAGTGGGGTGTTGAAGGACTGAGCTCTGTGTGCCACTCTGCCTGCCTGCCCTGTTGCCCTTAGTCTGGCTGGCTTTTGCATGTGGAACAGCATGGGGAAGCATTTTGTCCTTTGCCTCAGGCTGCAAAATGTCTTGGGCTGGCCCTGAAAGTAGGGAAACAATGATTCCACATTTTGATCATGAACATGTGCCTTGAATGTACAGAAATTGTTGGCTGGTAGGGTTTGCTTTCCTCCTTATAACCCCATAGCTTTTAAAATAATTGGCTGGTATTACCAAATGAAATAAGTTCTTTAGCAATTTGTCCTGTGGATTACAAATGAAAATTTAATTACAGCTGGTGCAAATCTTTAGCCAGACAGAAGGGTTGAATGTATATAATTTCCCATAAGCTTTGCTGATAGCTCAATCAGGATTAGATTTGAAGTTCAGTAGAAATACAGATGTACAAAAAAAGAACCAAAAAAACCCACCTTGGATGTATTTGTATAACCTCTATGGTGGGAAATGATCCAGTTAATAAATAACTGTTCAGTGTTTCCTTTGTTAACCATGTGGCTCTACCACTTTGATCTTCTAAGTGACCTTAGTTCTTGTTGATAGATTTAAAGGGATAGAATTGCCAGAAAATAAAGTACTCAATTTCTGCTGGACAATTTCACCGTTCATCTGGCAATTTCTTAAACACAAACAGAAAATTGGCAAACTTAAAACTCCTTGTTTTATGAAGCATTTGGATTTCAGGAAGGAACCTGTCTTTGATCATTCCAAAATACGTATTCAGGAACCATCCCCCCCCCCCCCCGTTGGCAGGTTAGGTTACATGAAGGGATTTATCATACATAGGCTCATTTTAGACAGCTAACTCTTGCAAGGATCTTGTCTCGTGCTGATTGCAAAAGGTTTTCTTTGTGAGCTATTCCATCAGGAGTTGCCTTTCCAACAGAAAGGAGGGCTGAAACTAAATCAAATGTACAAATTCAACTATGTAAAATGCCATGGTCCAGAAACCCACAATGGTTACAGGCTCCCATTGTGATCTGCTCTTATTTGAAGCCCAAGGCTGCAGTTGCGAAAATCGTGTATGGTAGGCCTACCTCACTGCCAGGGCCGGCTTACCAATAGGTACTAGGGGTGTGGGGCACCCAGGCGCCGGGCTCTCAGGGGCACCAGGCCAAGAGTCCGGGGCCGAGATTTGGAGTCCGAGGATTGAAGAGCCAGGCCAGCCGACGGCCACTGCCAAGCAAAACAGAGCCCGTTGGAGTGCCGTAGGCTTTTCTGCAGGTGCTAAGGCAGCCAACTGGCTCCACCCTCCTGCATGCTTGGGATTGGCGGGCCATCAAGAGGCCCGCCCAGCGCACGCATGCTGCTCACACGAGGTGTGCAGCTTCCCAGCCTCTGTGGGGATTGCTCTCCTCCCTTCACCCGCAGTGGCATGGGAGAGAGCTCAACAACTTTGGCCTGCCCCCCTTCAAAAAATAACGTTGGGAACACTGGCCATATGCTAAAGACGGCCCTGCTTACTTGTACCGCCTCTCCTGGTATGCCCCGCGGAGGACCTTAAGGTCCACAAATGACAACACTTTGGAGGTCCCAAGCTGCAAGGTAGTTAGATTGGTCTCAACTAGGGCCAGGGCCTTTTCAGTACTGGCCCCGACTTGGTGGAATGCTCTGTCACAAGAGACTAGGGCCCTGCGGGACTTGACATCTTTCTGCAGGGCCTGCAAGACAGAGCTGTTCCACCTGGCCTTTGGTTTGGACTCAGTCTGACCCTTATGTTTCCCTCCCCTTACAGTTTTGATCTATGGGCTACTATTAAAACGAGGCTGCATTTTAAATTGTATTTTAACCTGTATTTTAAATTGGTTTTTCCCCCTCCCCCCCCATTATGTTTTTATTGTAATTTTACTAGCGTTAGCTGCCCTGAGCCTGGCTCTGGCCAGGGAGGGTGGGGTATAAATAAAAAATTATCATCGTCATCATCACCATCACAAATTGGAGCACAGGAGTATTGGAAGCTGACTTATACTGGTCCATCTAGCTCCAGAGTTTCAGGAAGAGGGAATCTCCAGCCCCACCTGGGATTGCCAGGGATTGAACCTGCGAATTTCTGCATCCAAAGTTGCTGTCCTACCACTGAGATGCAGTTCTTCCCCTTACGTTGCTTGCTTGTGTTTTCAATGAATTCAAAAGCAGCTTGAAACGCAACAAGGAGAAAACTACATCTCATAGACTCACAGAAGTGGAAGGGACCTTGCAAGTCAATGTAGCAACCTTGCCATTGCATCATCCCTGAGAATATATCCACTCAAATCTCTGCAGAAACATCTCCAGCAAAGGAGAACCCATCACCTTTTGAAGCAGTCTGTGTAGCAGCTTTTGCCATTAGGCTCTCTTAATATTTCACTGCAATTATGAACAGAACATATGTGAAAACAATGGTTCCGAATGACAATTAACGACCCTCTTTGTGTTCCTGGATGGAATGATGTCCTGGGGAGGTCGTAGCAGAGGGTGACCGTGCAGTACTGCATTTAACTGCAGAACGTTGTTCTGTGTGAATAGGTCCTCTTGACTTGTGTTGTCATAGTGACTAAGATTAGAAGAAAGAGGGTAAATAATGAAGCAGGTGTGCCTTTCGAAACAGGAGCTGATTTGTCCTTGAGCCTTTGCCAAAGAGATAAAAGGAAGAAAAAGTAGCTACAATGCAATGCAAAATCGGTTGCTAATATAAATACATTGGAAGGAGAGGAGGGCATCCTTCCCTAAGGAATTAGCAAAGCAAAGGGCACAAATGAATGCGAGTTGAGTTTGCGTTAGGTGATCAGGCCATGGCTGTGGTCCATGCCATGTTCTCGTGTTTCAGATCCTCTAGGCAAAAAGAAACTTCCTAGAAGCTCAGTACAGTGGTACCTCAGGTTACATACGCTCCAGGTTACAGACTCGGCTAACCCAGAAATCGTGCTTCAGGTTAAGAACTTTGCTTCAGGATGAGAACAGAAATCGTGTTCCGGCAGCGCGGTGGCAGCAGGAGGCCCCATTAGCTAAAGTGGTGCTTCAGCTTAAGAACAGTTTCAGGTTAAGAACGGACCTCCAGAACGAATTAAGTACTTAACCCGAGGTACCACTGTACTTGCAAAGATGAAATTGCTAGGGAATGCTCTAGGAAAGGGACAAAACTGCTGATGTTCAGTTTCCTTTTTTGCCAAGAATGAGAAACTCTTACATTTTAGTTTTAATTGTTCAAGGACTACTCTTGAAAATTTTGCTTCAGCAAAATTATTTAGGGCAGATTTCTGAAGGGGGGGGCAACTGCACCCTAAAATGTTTGGAAAACCCCTTGGGGGGATATGCCCCTCCCCCCCCACAAACAACAAGTTCCAATCAAGTCTCAAAGCCGAAATAAAAACTCAAGAAAATTCAACTCTGCCCTTGCAATTCCATCTTTGGTGCTGAGAAATGGTTGCTGTCCCGTATTGGAGCTGGAAATACTGACTGATTCACTATGGCCAACGATGCAATTACATTCCTTGGAGGACAAACTACTGCATAGAAATCCTATGACAGAACGCTAAGAGGCAAGTCTAGAGGTCTCATCCACAGAAAATGGGGGAGATTTGAATACTCAATCAGGTTTTTGACTCAGTGCCTATGATCTTAATGCACAAGGTGGTTCTGTAAATGTTAGCTGCTCACTCTCCTGTTCCTTAAACAACCACATAGCCAAAAAAATAAGAGAGGAAGAATTCATTCTCAGTCTACAAGAACCACCACAAATGTCTGAATGTTTTTACTGGGCGGTCTCTTTCCTTGAACACCCCTATAGCTCCTATTGTTGTCGTTCACAGGAATTTTTGGGCAGAAGCTGGAAGACACCGTCCGTTACGAGAAAAGATATGGAAATCACCTGGCACCCATGTTGGTGGAACAGTGCGTGGATTTTATCCGGCTGCGGGGGCTGAAGGAGGAGGGGCTTTTCCGACTGCCTGGCCAGGCTAACCTCGTCAAAGAATTACAGGATGCTTTCGATTGCGGAGAAAAGCCATTGTTTGACAGGTAAGGTGGCGAACAAGCATTTCCCAGGGCAATATGTTAACATTGGGGTCCCCAACATAGGATTGCAGACTTGGCCATCTGTTCCAATGTCCTACAAGTCAGGGATATTTTGCCCAGCATGGGGTTCAAACCCCTGACCCTGAGGTTAAGAGTCTCATGCTTTATCAGCTGAGCTATTCCAGTATTTTGGGATGCCCTGGGTTTCAATCACAGCCCCCTGTTCCTTCTAATATATTTTTTTTAAGCTTTCTGCTTTATTATTTGTTTTCGTGTGGTGGCAGTGTTTTGCCTGTTTTGTGAACCGGGTGTTTTGTGCTGCCTGTGACAATTTCTCACGTTGAAAGCTGACTGCTGAGATTAGAGCCAAGAGTGTTTAGTAAGTCAAGCGATTGATTGGGAAGTTCTGAGTTCAAATCCCTCCTTCAACCTGAAGCGTTTTCTGCCCTGGACTTCTTGGGGAGGGGAAGGGCGGGGTATAAATTTAATAAAGTAAAATAAAATGAATGAATTAATCTTCCATAATTCAGATGCAACATGTGGCACACAGCAATGAATATATGATTTTGAGCTTCCGTTATATGTACAAAGATCCATCCCATGAAGAATCTGAAGCTCTTTCATCTAATCTTCATTTTCATCCTAGGATAATTTCTTAGGTAGACGAACTCAGTGGCAGTCAACATTTCCACGCCAAGGGTTCCCGCTTTAAGTGCAATCTGAGCATGGCATGCCTTGGAACCTGATACATTTTGGGCTCTTTACTTTATAAAAAGTTGACTAAAGCAGGTGGATGATGGAGGCAATAGATAGGCAGATTTTTTCTACCTCTCTCTAGGGATGGTTCACATTATCATTGCTTCCTGAACCAGTATGCCAGTGTTAGGGAATGTTTATGGTTCTGGGGGCCAGATCAGAATTGGCCTTGCAGGCCAAATATGACATCGCATGATTGACAGATGGTCTCTTATCGTGGCTTTGCAAGTCTTCCCAAGCTTCCCATTTAAACCAAACATTGCCAAAATGCAGTCATCCTTCAGAATTTGCGCGTCTCCAAAGTTTGCAATTCAATTCTCAGACCAAGCAATGTGTGTGAAAATGCATATATCGGGGCAAAGCGTGCATACTTCTGTGTATATTTAGTGGAAATAACACGCAAAAATGCATTATATTAAAAATGCAAAATTGATTCTGTAGGGGAGCATATTAGGAGAGACTCACACTAAACTTGTGCTAACGTGTTGATGAATTTTCATGAGGATTTATTTTTTTTTTTAAAAAAAGGCAATCACAAATGGGTGTGCAAATGTGGAGAACTAAATTTAACATGAGAAAAATGAGAAACGGGAATTGATGGATTTGCTGAACCCTTGTCATAATCCACCAGCTGAATGCCAATTTTTTTTATTACACATTGCAGGGAGGTCTTGCAACTGAACATAAAACAAGTGCTATTTTCTTCTGACAAATGTCAGAACTGCATAAGCAGTTGCTGGCTACCTTACCTTCTCAGGGATTCTTGTTTGTGTTCTAAGCCATTTGCAGTGTGTTTATTCATTCCACAGGGAGAGGGGTGTGTGTGTGTGTGTGTGTGAGAGAGAGAGAGAGAGAGAGAGAGAGAGAGAGAGAGAGAAGTCCGTTGATATAAGACCCTGCCCTTCAAACTCAAGCTGCCCTTTTTTGCCAGCAAGCACATTTTGCCTCTGCAATTTACTGAGGCAAGTCCGTGCTGTGAGGGATGGTGCCTCTGAGCTCCTGTGTTTGTGTAGCTTAAAGCGCATTTCTGCTGGCCTCAGCAACTGCGTTTCTGCAGCTCAGTGAAGGCAGTCCGGCAAGATGGGCCCCTGCAGAATAGCCGTAGCCTGCAAAATGGCCTTGGAGGGACTTGGGTTTCCAGCCTATTTCTCACTCACTGCCTTGAAGGCGCGACATGTTTAATTGGGACGGAGCTAACCCGGGTGTCCAAATAAGGCACAGCATGGGAAGATCAAAATTAAAACAGTGCTGCTCATTGCGAGTACTAATGGGGTTTCACGACCCTCCAGTTCCTAGAAAACATTGGGGGAAGGCTGTAGCTCAGCATCAGAGCCTGTGCTTTGGGCTCTGGGGGCCACAGGCTCAATCCTTGTCACCTCCATGGAGGGCTAGAATAGACCCCTGCCTAGATCCCTGGAGACCCACTGCCAGGTAGTGTTAGGTTGTGGGTGAACATATCAGACGACACAGCGATTCTCCAAACAGCTCTTGTTTATTCACAGGTCAGAACAGAACTGAACTGAAGGGTTTAGCCAGCCTGCTTATATAGAGCTCCAGTACAACATAACTGTAACAACTTTCTGTAACTATCCAATCACTGAACGTCACTTTCGATCCCTTATTTGCATATGTGGACCTGAACTATCTACAGTATTCCCCTGCTGGCCCAGGGTGAGAACTTCAGTACATAACAGGTAGCGCAGACCACAAGTGGGGAACATGTCGCCCACTGGATATTTGTTTTGAACTCCACTCAGCCCCAGCCATGTCAGGCAGGGTGTGAGTTGTAATCCAATAAGATTTGAAGAGTCACAGGTTCCCCATTCCTGACATAGATAATATTTCGCTGGATGGGTCAGTGTTTGGGTCTAATGCCATTTCCTGAGCTTTCTGCAATTGAAAGTCAATGTGAGTAGACTACGTAATGGTGTGCAAAATTTAAATTCAGGCTGTGTCTGCATGCCATGATAGCAGTGTTTTACTGTGGCGTGCATTCGTTTTTCTGCGCATTTGCTCAGTGGGACATCTCTCAGGCAAATAGCAACGGCATGTTACTTATCTGATGGGCTGAGCCTCCCTATAGACTTTTGGAAACTTACAACATTTTAAAAACGATTCTGTTCCTTGTTTTGTAGCACTCAGCACCACTGCTGTTGAAGGAACTTAACTCCCCATATACATTCTCTCCCTTTCTATTTCCCCCAAGACTGTTTCCCCCACCAAGTTACATAAATACGTGAAATGTTCAGTGAAAGCTATAGCAGATGAAATGCATACAAACAGAGCTAAGTGACACTTGTCACAACTTTCATGAATGCTATCAGTGGTGCCAAAAAAGATTCTTCCCCTTCTGTGTCATTTTTCAGTACTCCATGGAAAAGGTTTGCTTATTCAAACATGGCCCTCACTCTTAGTTGCCTTCACTTGCCGTCAGTGATATCCTAATCTGATTGGCTACATATGTTGAGACATTCACTTTGTAATTCCTGATTGGAGGAAGAAACACAGCCAGAGAAAACAGTGATAACCAGGACTGGAAAAGCTGGATATTTGTACATCTCTTTGGAAATGAAAACGTGTTTCCTGCTGAAATTTATAATTTCTGCTCACAAATTGAAACTAGTAAATGTTTGGTTTGGTTATTTCAAGCTACTTCAAACACAGCTCAAATACAACGTTAATCTATATCTATCTATCTGTCTGTCTATCTATCTATCTATCTATCATCTACCTACCTACTTACCAACCTACCTACAGTGGTACCTCAGGTTAAGAACTTAATTCTTTTAGGAGGTCCATTTTAAACCTGAAACTGTTCTTAACCTGAGGTACCACTTTAGCTAATGGGGCCTCCCTCCGCCACTGTGTGATTTCTGTTCTCATTCTGAAGCAAAGTTCTAAACCCAAGGTACTATTTGTGGGTTAGCGGAGTCTGTAACCTGAAGCGTCTGTAACCCAAGGTACCACTCTATCTATCTATCTATCTATCTATCTATCTATCTATCTATCATCTACCCATCTACCCATCCATCCATCCAAAAAGCACCTCGGGCTTTCTCCCATCCTCTTTTTATTCTTGCAGCAACCTCATGAGGTACATCAGGCTAAAAGATGGTATCTGACTCAGGGGCACTCAGCTGATCTTCATAGCTGAGCAGGGATTTGAACCCTTATTTGAACTGAAAGAAATGATCTTGTAGCGCTGCGGTCTGCCTGTGAGAAAGCATTTGTAATCCACGTATAATAGAACTTCAATACAAGCTACAAGAGGCCAGCAGAGAGGCAATACGTAAACCTGGCTTTTGGTAGGACTTCAGGAAAAACGAATGTTACTTCTGGGAAGGCAAGCAGACGCCAACAATGCTTCTTCGATTTGCATGCACAAAAACACGCAGAGTACCGAAGTACGAAGACTGAGCACTGGGAAATCAAATGGGTAGAGGTCCCAGAATGTTCTTCCTTTATTAGGTTGGCCAAACTGCAACAATTGTTAACAGAACAAGGTTTTGCTGTATGCTCAGTGGGAAATTGCATACATGGTGGTGAGCTGTTTGAGAAGAAGATGACATTTGTTTATCTTCAGATTCCCCCATCCCTGACCACAAATACACATTAAGAAAACAAAGCATTGGGTTCCATTAGTTGAACAATAAAAGGAAAAGGGGGGTTCAATTTTAGAGCAACATTACATGCTTGCTGCAAAATTGATTTAAAGCAATCTGTTCATTTATTGTGCTTTTACGGGGGGCATTTATATATATATACAGTAAATGTTATAGCTTTTTAATTGGAATTTGAAGAAGGTATGGGAGTATGCTCAAGCAAGCACTCATCATTTTGGAATTTTCTACTTTTGAATTAAATAGCCGTGACTTGTGTGTGTGTCTGTGTGTAGATATCTTAGAGATATATATTCTGAAGATATATGTACACCATATGAATAGGGGTTCTTTAAGAAGATGTGATAGCATTAATCCACAAACCCAATTTATCTGGAGCATTTATCCGATTGACAATAATGAAATTACATTGGAAAGTCATTGTGGTCCTTTGGCTGTGATCTCAACAGGATCTTTGGATGTGCATGCACAATGATATATATTTTTTCGTATTCTCTAACAGTGTTACTTAGGCACAGCCCCTAGTTTCAAAAATGGCCAGTCAGACAACTAGACATGCCGCCAAAGCCCATATTTCCTGGCTCCAATGATTAGAGTCTGGAGCTTGTAATGCACACCTCAAATTGGCATTGGGTAAGTAGGAAAGGAGGAGGAGTTGATGAGAAGGTAGGGGCAATTTGCTCTCCATATCTGGTAATTCTTTTGGGGGGGGGAGGGAGAAGTTCAGGAAATGCTTGGATAAAAAATTAGCTTTTTCCAATGATGCTTTGAGAGTGTAACACTACAGGTTGTAAGGGGAGTGAGTTCT